TGAGTCATGCTACAGAGTTGATATGTAAAACGTTTCTCCTGCAGTAGAAATACAATAGTAAAAGAGCCTTTTGAGTGCTCAGTTCTCCAGCCCCAATTCTAAGCCTGCCTAAGCCTGCAGCAGGAGAGGGGCTGGTGAGCTGGCTGGAAAGCCTCCTCTGCCCCCCTCAGTAATCAGAAATTATGGAGAGGCTGCGAGAGCTGTCATAGAAACAGCTCGAAGCATGCCGAGGGCTACATACAGCTGTAGTCCCAGGGAAAGGCATGCATAGTCTTGCAGCTACCTCCATTGTACGGGTTCCCGTAAGTGCTGGGTCAGACGGGGTGAACGCCATACTTGCCCCACACACACCCCCACCCCCCATTTTCTCCCACACTTAATGTGTTTCCAAAGCTGTACTCCAAAACCTGCTTCTTTTATTAATTTTTAACATCATTCCTGAAGGTTTAGCAGCACTGCTACTTCAGAGCCTCACCCTGTCTCCTTAAATCGGTTCCATGCTCTGAACTAGCAGCTCTTTGTTTTGGCTGCTTTGTCTTTCACTGTTCAAATCATGGAAATCAAAGTACACCCATGGGGTCACCTTGCCACAATGGTACCTGTGGGACAGAGGAAGGGAACAAGTATTCTGGTTTCTGTGAGGAAAAAATACATTTAATTATGCCAGGTGTACTAAGGAGTCATCCGCAGTGTGGGCAGGCAGCAGACACCACACCGGGGAGATGCAGGGCTGGTGCCCAAGCACACTGCTTTGTGTTTCCAAGCATACACGACTTAAATCCGTTAAAATTTCAGATAACATTTTTGTAAAGGTTAAAACCCTGCAGGCAGGATTATTTAATTGCTCCTGATGAGGGATAGAAGCACGGGCGGCGCGGAAGGCGCGGGCAGGAAGGCGGGCGCACAGCCCTCTGGGAGCTGTAGTCCTCGGGGCTCCGCCATCTTGGCGCCGCCAGAACACCGGCCCTGGGGCGCTCCCTGGCCGCCATCTTGGGCCGGGGGCGAAGCCTCCGTGTGGGGAAGGGGCAGTGGCCGCCGGGAGGGGGTTTTGGGTTGGTGGCTGTGCTTTTATTTGGAATTGGGAGAGCTGTAAATCCTTCACAAAAGGAAAGCTGAGCAGCCTTGTGAGTGCTCTGACTGGCCTGGTGGTGCTTGAGTATGGTTTGTGACCTTACTCATGGGTGTTGTGGTCGCTTCATGTCCATTTTACCACCAGAGCAAGCTTAAATTAATAAAGGTGGCTTATTTTTGTCCTTTTTTTCTTTCTTCCTTCACTGAGGTCTCTCCTGAAGGTCTGGATAGCACTGAAGTGCTTTTCCAGCCCATCTCAGATGGGAGGGGGGCTGCCAGGCTATGGGGTGGGGACTTGTGGTGCCCCCGTGTCTGGGGATGTGAGCGCTTCTGAGGGAAGCCCTGTGAGGGTTTGTGTGGGTAAGGCAGCTTGGGCATGAAGTTAAGTTAGAGTGTATGAAAGGATGTGAAAGGGTAGCTGGGCTATGGGGATCTGTTGAATAGGATTGGAGTAGGAAATAGGGCTCATCCCAGGGCCATTGGATGCTCTTCTTGGGTTGCCTGAGGAGCTGCTCCTGATGCTCTTCCCAGGGCCTGCTATTGCCTTGCTTGACAAGACAGGAGGTGGCTGCTGCATATAGGAGAATAAATTATTTACAGTGCTTATCAAGCTGCAGTGTCAGACGTAATGTTCAGTCCTAAAGTATTTAGCGAGTGAAATTTCAAAGACAGGTGCTCAAACTCACTGAGCTCCTTCAAGCTTGAACTTGGAATCCAAATCTGAACTCAGTTATGTATTATACAATTATAGATCACAGCTGGTTCCTTAAAACAAGTGGATATTTTCATAGCACAAAATAAATAAAAAATTTCTCTCAGCACATGTTCTACATGTTTTTATAGTGTAAGTCTAGCTATCTGTTTTGTTGTTGTTTTTAATTTTTAGTGTCGTTTTATTTTTGTAGGAATTAAAAAAGACACTTCTTTGTACTTATAATAATGGCATAATAGTAATGAAGTCAGGCCATTCCCATTAGATCTATGGGGCTGTTTAATTGCTCTGCAAACACTAAGGGGTGCTAATAAGCTTGCTTTCAAGCATGTGTTCATATGTCAACACTTCTGCTTTGTCAGAAGCTTAAAAATGGAAACAGTTTTCTCTTTAAGAAAACAGGACCCAAATAAGGAGATGATGGAGTGGTGAAGATTCCTCTAGTGAGTCTGTTCCAGCTCATTCCTTAGAAAGGCTGCATATGAAAGATCAGAGAAGAGGCCAGTAGATCTGGGTTTCGTCCAGGGGTCTCCAGGTTTAAAGCTCTCTACAGCTACTTGAGCTCAGTTTCCCTCTGACTTGGCTGGGCACAACTCCTTTCTCTGCCCAACTCATAAAAAAAAAAATCTAAAAGTTTAGTCTTCAGGATTTTTTCAGTTGCGCGACAAACACAACCTGTCCTTTAGCGAAAATGGAAGCTATCAAGAAAAAAATGCAGATGTTGAAGTTAGACAAGGAGAATGCAATAGATAGAGCAGAGCAGGCTGAAACGGATAAGAAGGCAGCTGAGGACAAATGCAAACAGGCAAGTAGAAATAAAATCACAGATTGTGCATGTGCTGTGGAAGTAAGTGTAATTAAATATTGTGTTGCAACTCTGATTCAGAGAAAAATATAACTTGAACTTGGGTTTTTTGTTAATCTTTTGCCTTTTTAAGATGTTACGCTCATACAGCTGGTGCTAGGTATTAACTTTTCAGCTATATTTGCAAATTTTTAAAGGACTGTCTTGTTTAAGTTTTTTAAATCATACATAATTGCTTTAATTTTCTTGTGCTTATGATTCTGTGGAAAAGACTTCACAGACTTAAAATCAAAACTGTATAGCTTGAACACCTGTAGGACTTGTGTTAATACCTCCTGAAGTCAGCTGTGTCTAAAACTTAATTGAGCCTCTCCTTGAAGTGAATTAAGAAAGTTCACTTGACTAGTCTTTGGTATACAGGTGCCCCTTAGAGGTGCTGGCTGTGACTTGACAGTAGGTATGCTGTTATTGTTTTGTTAGGAATGATCAGCAGTATCTTAATTTGAAAGCCCTAATTTTATCTGAATTACACAGATAACATTTGTGTATTCTGTTGCTTTTCAGTGTTCTGCATTCTGGGTGTCTACCTCATGTACTTTCAGAATGATCTTGAAATGTATTTTGACTACATTCCAGTTTGTTATAGAACTTCTTATAAAATTCTCATGTCTTTTCCACTTATATTCTTTAAATACGTTTGCTTCTGCTACATCTTCCAGATTGCTCTTACGCATTGTTAGTGTTCATTTGGCCAAATGTTGCTTCTGTTCAAGTTCAGTTTGAGAACTTTGGGTGATAATCTTCCGTTCATGTAGCTAAAGCAACAGGAAAGATGCTTCCAAAAGGGTCGGCTGCTGCTGTCTTCCTCCCACCCCCAGCTTATGGAAAACTACTCTTCACTTCTGTTCCCTTACAGTAAGCTTCTGCAAGCTTCATACACCACCACGTCAATGTAGTCGCTGTTTCTTTCATAGCCTCTGAGGTGTTGATCAGATGCAGCTCTGCTGGGCCACACTTCTTCCCTAACAAATGTTTCTGCACTCGGTGGCAGAAGAGCCACAGCAGATTGTTATTCAGAGTAGTTAAAGGTGATTGAAATGCTCAGCCTTCCTTGGCGTTTAGTTAGCAAAAGTTTCCTACTAAGTGACACATTTGTGAGAATTTTTTTAAGTATATGAGGATAATTCACAACAAAAAGCTAAAAATGGAAAACAAGTCTTTGATCTTATTCCTTGTCTCTGAATTGTACCCAATTTTTTTTTATTTTTTTTTTAATATAGGCACAGTACTCAAGTAGTGATTTTAATGTCATACACAAAGGAAGCGTCACTTCCTCCATCCTGCTAGTTGTCCCCCTGTTACAGCATCCAAGTGAGCATATTCAGTTCTCTCACACTATCTGGTTACTCTAAAAGTATAGCAACATAAACACTATTCAGGAATAGCACACTACCAAAAATGCTGTTAAAGCTATCTTTGAAGCTAGAATGAAGAAAATACGTGCCCTAAAACATAAACTATTCTGAGTGAACTATTTTGATAGCCTAAAGTTTTGTGGGGGCGGAGTTAAATTGTTAAATCTGTTTCTGTACAGACTGAACTGTTTTGTATCGCAAATGGAGCAGATGGGCTTGCAGGCACACCCTTATCAGCAGCAAGCCTCCTGATAATGCAAATTCTAAAGGGAGCATGAGACAGTTTGTCACTAAACAGTCTCCCAGCAGGTTATAAATAGTATCATTGTAGTGCACAATATGGATTTATATGGTATGGAGGAGAGAGCCTGAACCTCATGGTGGGATGGGGTGTACCTTGCTGGCCCACAATTAGCCACGGAACGATTCAGGGTGGAAGGGACCTCCAGAGGTCATCTGGTCCCACCTCCTGCTTACAGCAGGGTCTGTAGCAGGCCAGAACAATTCCCTCCTGCTCCCAAAGTATCACTATAAGTGTCTTGAATGACGTGCAAAAAAAGAAACTGAAGGAACGATAACTACATTTTTCAAGCTATACAAAAATTAAAGTTTCCTAATAGATCACCAGGTAATGGTGTTAAACACAAGAATCCAACCTTAAAACATTTTTAATTATGCTGTAGAATGAACTGCTGCAGGATGTTGTGGAGTCCAAACTAGAAATGTGGTGTAAAAGGGGCTATACCGAGTGTTAAACCAGATCCTGAGTGTGCAGTGATGAGGAGTGTTGTTACAAAGACAGCACGTTTTTAATGACCTTTCCCTGGAACCTGCTACCAGTCAGACTCCTTGCAGTAAGAGAATCTGGTCTTTTTGTGACTCTGTTATGATACATTGAAACTAATGGTAAAGAGGGGTTTTAGCCATGTTAAACTGTAGCTGATAATATGCCACAATGTTTTGTTTGTTTGTTTTTTTCTCGAAAGGTGGAGGATGAGCTGGTAGCTCTGCAGAAGAAGTTGAAAGGAACCGAAGATGAGCTGGACAAGTACTCCGAGGCTCTCAAAGACGCCCAGGAAAAACTAGAGCAGGCTGAGAAGAAGGCCACTGATGTACGTACCTACATCTAACATCTGTCTGTAACTACGCTGTGTTTTGCAGTGTGCAGGTAGTACGTTGATGATACGAATCTCTGAGAGTTGTTGTATTGCAGGACTTCAGTCAGGGGCTGGGATTGCAGTGTTCGGTTGCAGGTATGTAAGTCTCCTGCCTGCTCCAACAGCATGAACGCAGGCTGGCTGCTCAGCACCCAGCGCATGGCCCACAGCTGCCCTGGGGCATCGGCTGGGGTCTAGGGGCTTTAGGGTGACCTCACAGCACCGCACCAGCCCGGGGGTGCTGGGGGGGAGGATTTCCAAGCCCCAGGACGCGAAGGGAGCTCCGAGATGATCCTGGAGCAGCTCAGAAGCGTCTGGGGGAGCAGCACGGAGCTGCTGCAGCTTTGGCTTCGGCTGGGGGCTGCCGGTGAACGGGGTGCGGGGAGGACGGGAGGTGGGGGGGGGATCGGGCCCGGAGCCGCGCCCGTCCCGGTTCCTCTGCGCTGACGTCACCAGCCCACCTCCCGCCACGTGACGTCATCGGCCCATTGAAAGGCGCGGGGCCGCGCGCCGCCACGTGCAGCACCTCCGCGCCCTGCCCGCCGCCCGCACCGCGCCCATGGCCGCGCCGAGCTCGCTGGAAGCGGTGAAGAGGAAGATCCAGTGCCTGCAGCAGCAGGCCGATGAGGCGGAGGATCGCGCCCAGGTCCTCCAGCGGGAGCTGGACCTGGAACGGGACCTGCGGGAGAAAGTGAGACCGCCCGGGCTGTGCCTGCTCGCCTCTCTCGGTCGCTCTCTCCCGGGCTGCCTGCTCCTTCCTTCCTGTCTCTGGCTCTCTCTCCGCTGGGGGGTCTCCTGGCTCTCCCCCCCCGCCCCGTTCCTCAGCTGTCCCCTCGCTGCTCCGCTCCGCAGCTCCCCGCGGAAAGCCGCGATGCTGCCGCATCGCCTCGCCCGCGCCGTCCTCCGGGGGCACCGGGCTCGGCCGGGGCGCCGGCTGCTTGCCGCTCTCGGGGCCCTTCCGTGCGGAAAAGGCAGCGATGGGCAGCGCGGAGCGGTTGGGAGTTGAGTAGGAAATCGGTGCTTAATTAAGGGAAAAGCGCCGCATGACAACGAGCCGAGAGTTCCCGCCTCTCGGCGCCGCACCGCTGGCTCCGGCACAGCTGGGAAATGTCCGAACTGCTGGAAAATAACTTCTCCCTCCTGGTTTTCACAGAGAAATGAGCGCTCTCCGCTAGCGTGCCGCTCTCCCGGGGCTGGACAGCTGGTTTCACTTAGATTTGTGTGTGATCAGCCTTCCCGGCATCTTCCTGCTATTTTATCACATGTCAGCGAGTTAGTTTTACCGTATAAGGACTGCGGGCTGCTTCTGGGAGAGGTGGAGCCAGGCTAACTCCAGCTTCCCAGTGGCCCCATCTCCATAGCTTTGGAATCTTGTTTAATTAAAATGGGACTTAAAAATGTCCTGTCTAGTGGAAGAAGTTGCAGACTGCCACGTAACAGACGCCAGTTTTCTCCATGATCGATGCCTTGTGTGCAAATCTAGTAAGTTAAGTATATAGCACTGGATAGAAAACAAATGAAATGCTGGGTAATTGTGACTGGAGGAATCCTGTGTCAGCTTCCATTTGGATCGGAGGCACAGAAATCCTTTCCAAGAGGGTACAGCTATGAGCGGAAACCACATCCTCCAACTTAGGAGGAGCAGTCAGTAACCAAGTTTCAGAAGCTGCTGCAAAACAAGTATTTTGCAGAGTGTTTCACATAATGTGAAAAACGAGTGCTCTGGCAGGACCTATGGCCCATAAAAGTCCACTTTAAAAAAAGCTGTTAATCCGGTATATGGCAATCATGCTCAGATTTGGGAAGACCTATGCACTAAGTGATTGAGCAAACCTAGCAATTATTAAAGTGAGTCTTTTTTTCCACAAATAATGAGTGATAAAAGGGGCCATATCCTAATAAACATGAATTCATGGACACTAATTTGTTCATATTATGTGTATGCAAGCATTTCCCCCAACAACCTCTTTATTTGTTATATAGTCTGTCCTGAAACAAAAGGTAACTACTGCTCAGTTTATTCAATAATACATAAACAGACCTTATTATTAAGAAATGTTTATTGCCTAATTCCTTAAGTACCACAGGAAGCAATGAGAAAGGAAAGGGAGCTTATTTTAAGAACACACTTAATTTTGCCCTATTTACGTTACAAAGAAGATTGACTGTCAAGCTGCGGCCAACTGTATCCCCTGCCACTTAAAGATTATATACCATTGGCAGGCTTAGGAGGCCAAAGCAGCTTTAATTTCAGCAATGTGCTATGATAGGATATTACTGTAATTTGTGATGGAAAATAGAAATCAAATGTGCAGCTTTTGGAACAAGCCTTTATGCAAACCATTTGGTTTTTAACTTTGAATTCTACTGATAGATCCAGCCATGTGAAGTGACCTGAGAAAGCTGCTCCATTTGCAATCAGTGCCTAATCCTTTGTTGTGTGGCAGGAATGACAAGTACCACTGAAAAAAGAAAGGAGAAGCACATACTCCATACCTTGACATTCCTGAGATGCCACAGTTTAAACAAACAAAAAGCAGAGAGAGAGAGAGAGGTTTTTAGAGCTTTCCTGCTGTAGCAAGTAGAAGCCTTTGCAATTGAAAGGAAACTGATTAGATGTGAACATTGGCATGCACAGAACCTCAATTCTAGGTGGTTATTTCACGTAGGCTGAAGGTGAGGTGGCAGCTCTGAACAGACGTATCCAACTAGTGGAAGAGGAGTTGGATCGTGCCCAAGAACGGCTGGCCACAGCCTTGCAGAAACTGGAGGAGGCTGAGAAAGCAGCGGATGAGAGTGAGAGGTGTGTTTCCTTTTCTTTTTCTTTCTATTTTTTTTTTTTTTTTTTTGGTAGCAAACAAAACCAAATATACACAGCTAAAATATTCCAGCATCTATGTGTGCTAATGCATATTGGAGGTCAGAGACTCAGAACTAGAGGCACGGGGGGGAGGGGGAGGTTCTTAATTGAGTAATTCTGTTAGCCTAAAAGAACATGATAGTATGGTTATAATGGGATGCTTTCTAGTTATAAATATTGAATTCTGCTTCAGGACTTCTGAGATAAAAGTGCTAAAATGCTTCTACATTAAACACACGCTTTGATTTCTGCAGAGGAATGAAGGTTATTGAGAACAGAGCAATGAAAGATGAAGAAAAAATGGAAATCCAGGAAATGCAACTGAAGGAGGCCAAGCATATTGCTGAAGAAGCTGACCGCAAATATGAAGAGGTAAAAAGGCTGCCTAAATAAGGAAGTGATAAATCATATGGGAGAAGTGGGAACAACTTTGTTATTCTTCAGTTTAGTCATTCTTTGTATGCTTTTCACTGTGTGATAGCAACCTTTGAATATTCCCAAAAAGGAATAACGTTAATGGTGATTTTAGCAGCATTTAAGATACTTAATTCTAAGAACACTGCAAAGTAACTTAATTGGGGAAAAAGCCTGTGATGTCTGCATGTTTGTTTTACTCTAGTTTCATTCAGAAGGGAAGCACAAGCATAGTGCTTTCAGAGAAACATGCAAAGGATAGCAGCTTGATACAATTGTTTTCTCTTTCCAGGTTGCTCGTAAATTGGTTATTTTGGAGGGTGAGCTAGAAAGAGCTGAAGAGCGTGCAGAGGTGTCTGAAGTGTGAGTAGCTTTACAAACACAGAACTAGTTTATAATATAGTAAAGGTTAATGCTACATTTAATTTAAAAACAAAAAAATCTACTGCTAGCAGAAAAGCACGTAGTATATTTGGAAAAGCTTTTTGCACCTTATACACCCAACTTTCTGCTTTCAGACTTAATAAATATTTTGTATCTTGTATTTTTAAGACTTCTTGAAAGTAAAATTAAACCATAACAGGGAGAATAGTAATTTCTCCTTTTTTTTCCCTTGTAGTAAATGTAGTGACCTTGAAGAGGAGTTAAAGAATGTCACTAACAATCTGAAGTCTTTGGAAGCTCAATCTGAAAAGGTTGGTTCTTTAAGTAACATAAGGGATGGGGGCAAAGTCAAAACTTGTAATTAAAATTCATAGAAATAAGGGGTTAGCTGACTGCCTGTGTAAAGAGACTATTGATAATGCTGAATTGGTTCTCTTACACTTCCAGACTTTTTTGTGCTGTATATGAAAGTAAGCTAGTGACTAGTCTTAAAATGAGTTTGAGATGTCTTGACAAAGGAAAAAAGTATGCAAAGGGTGTATGCAACTGTTGTAAAAGGAAAAGTGGTTATAAACAGTGGCCGCGTTTCCACAAACATTTGTTGTTGCTGCCACAACTTCCCTTAAAGAGTGTTTGTTTTCGCAGTACTCAGAAAAAGAAGATAAATACGAGGAAGAAATCAAGATTCTCTCCGACAAGCTGAAAGAAGTAAGTTTATCCATCCCCAAACTGTATTTTGGCATTTTTTTGTTTGTTTGTTTTTAACAGCACTCAGTTATCTTATTTGTTTTTTGTTTTTTTTTTTTTTTTTTTTAGGCTGAAACTCGTGCTGAATTTGCTGAGAGAACAGTTGCCAAACTGGAAAAGTCTATTGATGATCTGGAAGGTATGAAATCACTCCAGTTCTTGTTTTTCAAATCTTCAATTTCAAGTCAGACAACAAAGTCCTGGGAGTGAGTAATATATTTTATTGGGAAATGACGGAAGTATTCGTCAGGTATATAGGTGAGCCAGCATGATAAAGCTGGTAATCCACCAGACATACCTGTCTGGCCCAGCTGGTACCTATTGGCCAAAGGGAATTTTGCCAAAAGAGGTTCTTTTCCAAAAACTTAGTAACAGTAACCTCATTTTGGCTAACTCATACACGTATATGCTCAAACACCCTTTCAATTAATAATAAAATCATAGTCCTATTTAGCCTGATTACTGAAAAATAAATTTGTGAGATTATTTTTTTTTTTAAAAAGGACATGTAGAGACTTGGCAGGTGGGTGTATTTTTGCTTTCATACTGGTACTCAATCACAGTTTTGTTTTCTTCTTTTGTTTTCCTCCATAATTGCTTCGGTCGCTGCCTTCTGCCTGTCTCCGTGTCTTCTGCTATACACCTTTTCCTCTGGACTGTTTTTCTGCATTTCTTGCTGAAACATGCCTTCTGCCCTCGTGACTGATAGACGAGCTGTACGCTCAGAAGCTGAAGTACAAAGCTATCAGTGAGGAGCTTGACCATGCTCTCAATGACATGACCTCTCTGTAATTTGCACTTGTTTGGGGGGCGCTTTGACTTGCTGCATTTCTTAAGCTTTTCTTGCCTGTAATACCTGTCACTTCTGTGCAATTCAATCCTCTCTGTAAGAACCGAGCTCAATAAAAACAAGATACCTCTCTGCCTTTCAGCTTTTGGGTTTCTTTCCTTACAATTTACCTAAAATAGACCAGTAATGACACTAAGTTCAGCTCCTCCACCCCAGGGTGCAGTCGATGCAGTCAGCACAGGTGGGACGGGGAGGGTGGTGTGGCCTAGGATATGTAGGCAACAGGGCCATGCTTGTCCCTGACAACTGCCATAGACCCCAGTCTGTCTCAGCACCCCGACAGCCGTGACAGTGCCCAGGGGACTGACAAAGGCCTGGATTTTGGTATTCCCAAAGACAGGCCCAGCAGTGAAAAGCTTTGAGCTCCCTTCTTGCGCTTGCAAGTGCAGAGCTCTGCCTGGTTTAAAGTTGACAGGACAATGAAAACTGTAGGATGTGTCCTACAGGTCAGGTGATAAACCAAAATGGGAGTCTGGCACACAATGCAAGACGTGCCCCAAAACCTCACTAAATAAAGTAATTGCAAAAATAAATAAATAAAAATGGGAGGGGGGTGCAATTGTTTCTCTTGAATGTCAAGGTAAGTTGTTTTTTTTTATTTAAAGATTTTATATATATATATATATATATATATATATATAAGTTTTGTATATAAAGAGAAAAAAAAAGTTTTTTTTTGTTTTTTGTTTGTTTTGTTTTAATTTTATTTATTTAAAGAGAAAAGGCAGTAATGTGATGTGCATTTTAAGTCCTGTTTTTTCTCCTTTCTCCCCAGAAAAACTCGCCCAAGCGAAGGAAGAGAACCTGGGCTTGCACCAGACACTGGACCAGACACTAAACGAACTGAACTGTATATGAAGCGGGGAAGCGGAGCTCGGCAGCCCCCTGAGGCATCAACCCTCCCCTCCCGTACCGCGCCGCTCCTCCTTTTTTCCCCTCTCTGTAACCTGAAAGACAAAAAAAAAAAAAACAAAACACAACAAACTTTTAAGTTATGACCAGTACCGAACCACGGGGGGGCACCGGGAGGGAGCCTCGTGCGTTGGGGGCCGCCCCCTCCCCAGTTCTGTGGGGTTTTTGTGGGGCCGGGACCCGCCCCCTCCCCCGCCTCCTGCCAGCGCCCGGCGGCCATTAAACGGTTCTGTCAGCCCCGCCTCGCCTCCGCTCCTAGCCCCGCGCGTCACGTGACGCCCCCCTCCAATCGCGTCGCTCCTCGCCGCGCCGAAGCCAATGAGGCGCCGGCTCCCTTCCCTTCCTGCCGGGTCCTGCGCGGGAGCCGCGCCGCTCGGCTCAACCAATGGGAAAGCGGCGGGCGGTGATGGGCGGCGGGCTCGGCCTATCAGACGGCGCGGGGGGCGGGGCGGCGGCCGGGCAAGATGGCGAAGACGTACGACTATCTCTTCAAGCTGCTGCTCATCGGCGACTCGGGCGTGGGGAAGACGTGCGCGCTCTTCCGCTTCTCCGAGGACGCCTTCAACGCCACCTTCATCTCCACCATCGGTACGGGCCGCTCCCGGCCGCTCCCCAGCTCCCCTCGCGTCCTCAGACCACTCCGGGGCCGCCTCAGCCCCGGGTCGCTGTGGGGCTGACGGGGCCGTGGCGCCGCGTGCCCGGGCCGCGGGCGAGGGAGGCTTCGCTTGTGGTGCCCCGAGAAGTCCCGGCCCCAGCCGGGAGGTGAGGGGGACGCGCGTGAGGCCGGTCTGTGAGGAGGAGGGAAGTAACGCGGCTGTTTCTCGTTCCAGGTATCGATTTTAAAATTAGGACCATAGAGCTAGATGGGAAGAGAATTAAGCTGCAGATCTGGTAAGGCTTTCCTTCTGAAGTGCTGTGAGTTAAAGTCTGGTAGCGCGGTGTCAGTGCGGTGAGACCGCGGCTGGGATATTGCGTCTGGTTCTGGGCCCCTGGGTTCAAGGACAGGGAACTGCTTGAGAGAGCCCAGCGCAGAGCCATGAGGGTGAGGAAGGGAGGGGAGCATCTCCCTGATGAAGAGAGGCTGAGGGAGCTGGGGCTCTTCAGCTTGGGGAAGAGGAGACCAAGGGGTGACCTTATTGATGTTTGTAAATATCGAAAGGGTGGGTGTCAGGAGGACAGAGCCAGGCTCCTCTTGGCGACATCTAATGATAATACAAGGGGTAATACGTGCAAGCTGGAACACAGGAGGTTCCCCTTAAATGTGAGAAGAAACTTTTTCGCTGTGAGGGTGACAGAGCATGGGAACAGGCTGCCCAGGGGAGTTGTGGAGTCTCCTTCTCTGGAGACATTCAAAACCCACCTGGCTGTGTTCCTTCATGACCTGACCTAGGTGTTTCTGCTTCAGCAGGGGGACTGGACTGGGTGATCTTTCAAGGTCCCTTCCACCCCTTAACGTTCTGTGATTCTGTGGTGTGGAGTAGTGACGTTATCATCATTTCTTTTCCTCCCATTATGCTCTTCAGCTGTTTACGTTATCATAGAAACCAAAAATCTAGTTTTAGCACACCTAAAAACTGTCTCAATGGTATGTAATTAAAAAAATAAATTGGTGGCTTTAATTTGGGCATGGTAGCTTGATTGGTTTGTGTGAGCCCCGTTGTGCTCTGTGTGTTGCAGGGATACGGCTGGGCAGGAGCGGTTTCGAACCATCACGACAGCGTACTACAGGGGAGCGATGGTAGGAGCAACACAGCTTGTGCTAAACATAAACCAAAGGGTGCAGCTCTCACAATCAAAGCAGCTGGGTTGTAATGCGGGACGTGTGTAACCCTCTTCCAAGATGTAAACTCTAACCTGGGTAAACACTTAGAGTCATGCTCCTGTTTCTTAGTGCAGTGCTGGAGCTGTACTGGGACAATGTGGGAGGTCCCAGAGGTGGATTTCCACAGTGACTCACTACAAATACGCGTCCGGTACGCCTTATCTAGCAAGATACAAGCTACAATTAAATGTTATGTACGGCTCCGAGCCACCTTTTGTTTTAATAGTGCTTGTTAAGTTGTTCTTTTCTGTTATGGACAAGTCTTTAACTCTTGCTTAAACTGATGCTGAAATGAGGTGTTTCTCTCCTTAATCTTTAGGGCATTATGTTAGTCTATGACATCACCAATGAAAAATCTTTTGAAAATATTCGGAACTGGGTCAGGAACATTGAAGAGGTAATTTCTGCATTTATAAATTTATAAATACATAGAAGTTAAATGCTTCAGAAATGTTATGTTTCTTATAATAATGTGCTGAAGGCTATGTAGAAAAAAAAATGAATGAAAGTCAGTAATCAGTGTAGAATTTCTTGGTTAACAGTAATACATTGTGCTTACACAGGAGCAAGCTTTTGTCCTTGTAGTGAGTAGGGTTCCTGTAAGGTAATGTTTTCTTGCCTTGACAAGCAGACTGAGCTGTCATTATGCAGGACGCACACTGAGCTATCAGTGCCTGCAGTAAGCTGCTGGGATCAGGTGTTTTGAGGGAGCTCATAAATCTACAGAAAATGCTTAGCACCACCATCTCCATTTTAAGTGCTTGATGACCTGAATCATTGTCTTATCGATATTTGTCTACAAAAAAATAAGAAGTCCTTTCTTTCATTTGTTCCTACCTCAGCACGCCTCTCCGGATGTTGAAAAAATGATCCTTGGGAATAAATGTGATGCAAATGACAAAAGACAAGTTTCTAGAGAGCAGGGGGAGAAGGTAAGTGCTACAGCCTGGTCTCCCCCCTGGTTGGTTGTATTTATGGCCGTTTCTGCAGTTATCCAACTAATGTGAAACTTGCTTTTGTTCAGCTTGCAGCAAGCTTTGGAATTAAATTTATGGAGACCAGTGCAAAAGCAAATATAAACATAGAGAATGTAAGTACTGCAACCTTTCTTTTATTTGTTATAGTAAGTGCAAACAAGCAACAAGAAAGCTTGCTCATCCTGATTGTATGCAAAACTCAATTGTCAGATGCTTCAGATGTGTTATTAAATACATGTCCTTGCATCCTTTAAAGGCATTGTGTTCCCAACTTTATGCTAAATAATTTAACTTGAACTTGGTACTTAGACTGTAACACCAGGGCATTACAGTAACTGGTGTTACAGCAACATCCTAAAAAAAAAAAAAATGGGTTTATGGCTCTGCATACAATAGCAACATTTACAAAGGATGTCATTTGCCACTATAAAACCTGGGTGTGACCCTGCTGGGGGTGGTGTGTGCTCTTACACAGAGACATGGTAGTGAAGTGAGAAAAGATGCAGACAGGGGAAGGAGCATTAAAACCGGGAGGTGGGAAGGGCAGAACTAGAAACAAAATATTCTTCAGGAGCTTGGTGTGTGTAAAAGCTTGGGAAGGCAGCTTACTATTAAACAGAACTGTTGGAGTGCAAGCTGTTAACCGTGTAACTTCTGTTTTGTTACAGGCATTTTTCACTCTTGCCAGAGATATCAAAGCAAAAATGGACAAGAAGTTGGTGAGTAACTTTTACTTAGTCCAATCCCTATTTAAAGAGGGGAAGGAAAAAGCCAAATACTAACTGCTTTATCACAGTGAGTCAAAAAAACATTTTGTGGCATCTTTCATAGGGGATGCACTGAAGGTTACAGAAATATAATTTTAGTTTTCACAGTCTATGCTCTTGCCTTGGCTTATAAACATTTGGCTCTGCATTTCAGGAATTAGTTGCAGCAGTTGAGGTTTTCTAAATAAAATTCTTTTGTTTGTTTTATTGGAAGCCAAGTGAGAGGTTGAGCAGAGCAGCTTAATGTTACTTTTTGCTCTTTCTGCCTGGAGAACTGTATTGTACGAAGTCCCGGAGGCCCACTTCATTATGCTGTTCCTTATGAAATGAAGCTAATGAAGATTGCATCTACTTTTACTGAACATTCTACCTTTATGTGGCCAGACGTGCTGGTAGAGCTGTAATATTTTGGGTCTTGCTGACAGTTCTGAGGTATTTTAACAAGAGCCAGATGTCCTATATTTTTTCTAATCTCGTCTGCCTTTTCTTTTATGGAAAGAAGAATAGGCACAGTACGTGTTAGTAAAAGCCAACAGTATCAGATGCAGTTCTCTGACTTCTCATAGTGGCTGATGTAAGGGACAAATAAATGAGTGAAGACTCTTGTTGATTTCTAGTTACCTTTTTTGTGTAATGAAAGGCTTGATTCAAAGTATGGATGCTAGATCTTACAACAGTACTAGAAGCTGTTAAGCATAAATAAGTAACTGAAATTCTTTGCATCTTCAGGAAGGCAATAGCCCACAAGGCAGCAACCAGGGAGTCAAAATCACACCAGACCAGCAAAAGAAAAGCAGCTTTTTCCGATGTGTTCTTCTGTGAGGGACACGGCCTTAATCTGAGCATCTGCTCAACTGAACTGGACTGTGCCTGTTCTGAGTGAGACTTCCTCTGTCTGTGGACTTAGCATTTTCAACACACATTGTCACTTTGTGACCATCTGAATAAGAAATTGTTTATTTTAGTAATTGTCTGACTCTTCAATTTTGGAGATGAAACAAGTTTATTTTTGTCAGATTGCCACTGGGCATATGTATTGTCTAGCAGAGGGAATACAGATCAAATGTGACCTGTAATAGCACCTTTGCTGACAGGCTTCAACCTTATTGTTCACATCTGTAATGTATCCAAATTAGAAAGATTAAGTTATGATCAAAATAAGAAACCGAAATGCCAATATTAATAAAGTACAGGGATGTGTACATGATACATGTGCATATCCATATCTAGATGCATATAAAACAGTTGCATCAAAACATCAAACGAATGCACTTAAGCAAGCAGTACAGGTATGTATATACCTTTTCAGAAGGTAGAAGGAAGCTTTCTACATCTCCACCTTTTTGCTACTACAGAGTAAATCCTTAATCTGCCTAATTACTCAAATATGTTTTTCTAGACAATCCACAAGTACAATTAGAGTAAAAAAAATATTTCAGAGGAATCTATTTTAAAAAAAAAGTACTGTAAATGTAATGGTTCCTTACCATCAGGAATTTATTTATCCGTGTTAAAGATGACCATGTTTAATTAAATAATCCACACATTTAACAGGAGATAATAGATACAATGTGTCCCATGCAAATGATCTGTGGTCTGTTTTTGGAGAAACAGACCCTAGGGACATACTCAGCGTATAATATCGCAGTGGACAGCTTTTCCTTCTCCATTTGAGAATGACTCCAGACTTGTCATGATGTAGTAGCTAGTTATAAATTGTGACAAGAAAATGTATTGCACTGCTTCCAGTTGTGTGTTCTCATGCACACTTGCTCACATATGCAAATAAATGTTGCACATATGAACACTTTCTGAAAACAAACTTTTTAAACTGAGATTTGCCTTGCTGCTGTGTATTGATCATTTCAGATTCCAAGCAGCAACAAACCTGTTAATAGCGTGCATCAATGCAAATGATATTTAGTTCTCAGTGGAAATATTTATTCTTATAAACACAGTCTTGTACATTCCGATGTATAAAATGTACCAGCCTAGTAAAGCACCTAGGTAGCCACTTGCTCTCCATTCCGAGCTGCAAGCCTGACTCTAGTTAGATTGATAAAAGGAGCCAGTAAGAGCAATCTACTTAGAAGTCTGCTGTCAAGTAATTGGAATTATGGTATATTTGACCCAAATGAACATATCAGCTGTGTCCTGCAACTCACTGGATTTGTTAACGTGCTGCTTTGTTTACATTGACAACTGCACTTAAGGGTAACATTAAAGCTCATTTTAATGAATTTATTTACCAGCTTTGCTTTCTTCAAGTTTGTGGTATTGCATTCAGGCCTCAAAGTAGCACTCATAAGTGTTACTGTAGTTAATTATGAATCTGATAGATATTTAAACTTTATAAATCTGCAGCATGCAATTGGGCTCAACAGGAATATTGCCCCTTTCTCTAAAATAAAAAAATATTGCTTAAGTTACTGGATTATAAAAATGCATTTTATATGCCACCAACTTTTTCCTTTTAATAGTTAGCAGATTAAAATGAGCTCTGTTCATTATTAAAATCATATGTAAAACTTCCCTCTAACCAGTACCTTATGATGTTTTGTTCTTGTTTGTGTGTTTGCTTGTGGCTTTTTAGTGTGAGGACGTGGTGAACATGCACCACGCTGAATTACATGCAGATGTATTTGTAGGATAAAATCATATTAAGGTACTGAAGAGCCTTCTAGTCAGTATGTGCTTCAAAGGGTAGGTAATACACAGCTGTAGATTGGGCAAGCAATGCTACTTACTTTGTATAAGGATGTTTAAAAAAAAAAAAAAGACTATGCTTCAAAAAATTACTGGGGCAAAATTGGGGAGGTGATTCAGGCATGGTCTGAATGCTGTTCTACACAAAACAGATCTGTTTAATGATTTGTTTCTGGCTTAGTAAGCGTGGTTTGTATCATAGCTATCCTTCTTCTTTAATATAGCCAGATGTTGCAGCCAGACTTATTTTTGGAAATGACTGGAAAAATCAGTGGTTAATCTAACTTGATATTGTGGGGCTGTTCACCACGACAGTGGGTCTTGCCTGTTGACAGCATCTAAATAGATAACTTGTCCTGAGATGAGAAAGAAATAACACATTAACTGAAAAGTGGATAAAACTTGAAGGATTGATTTGTTTTTCATTCCCCATTTTCTAAATCTTATGTTACTATTTTGCATTTAAAAACTAACTCTGTCTGTGAACAACTTCATTTAAACTTATGCTGGTTGTTGCACGTGTTTATATACCTAATTTATATCACAATTTCCAAACTGATTCGTTTTGTTCAAGGAACAATTATGTTACTGCCCGATCTCAGGAAGTTTCACGCAGTTACTGTGACCTACAGTCATCACTGTACTTCTAGGGTATACAGACTCGCAGAAATTATATCAGTGTAAGCAATATGAAACCTCAAAATATGAATGCAAATGTAAGACAGGGAAAGGTTAAAGACACTGCAGTTGCATGTATGCTTGGCTATGTGTTGCTAAATGCTGACATCAAATGTTGGATAAGTACAATATGCAGTTGATGTTTCCATCGCATAATTAAACTGTGTTTTTTGAGCATGAATGTTATGAAAACACAATGATCAAAAGAGGTACTGTGTAAATGAATACAGGAATGTATTTATATGTAAGCTTTCTTTAACTAAGATGGAAAAAATCTGAAATTGGATACAGAATTTGTAAAACAGGAACTTAAGTAGATCCGTAAAGCTAACGATGCGCTTGCTACACGTTCTCAGTGTCTAAATACCACTAAAATATCAGGTAATCAGTTAACACTTGGTTTGTAGAGAAACAAACCCATTTTTGAGCATGTTCTCAAACTCCCTTACTTTAATGAGTATCATAGAATTCTGTGGTTGACCTTATTTTTGAGGCTGATTGAAATTTTTCAGATAGTCTTCACCCTTTCAGGTGTAGAACTGTCAGTAGCTTATCTGTCAACAAACAGTGGAACTGCTGTTTTGATGCTTATGTCGTCTAGTTCCTGTGCAGATAGGCACATCTTATGTTCTTTGACATCAGAGCCTTATGCCACCATCAGACTTTCAGCCTCAGATTTATAAATCCTATGGATTATATTAAGTCTCTTTATTGCTGCTGAAAATTATTCGGTCTCTACTTTCATGTGGGATGCTAATCATCTTACTGACAATTGTTAAGGGTTTTATTGTGGTGGCGATGTGTTTGGCTGATGCTCATACTCAAACGCTACCGTGATTTCTTGCTCTCTTGGACTTGAAATGGATGGGGTTTAAGCTGGAGAGGAAATGGACAAATGGCTGCTTAAAGAATGATCTCCATTTCTGCTAGAAGTTCATAGGGGTTGGGAAACAGTGATGACTAACTTGTGTCCTTGTTCATAGATGAAATAAAGATCTGTTCAATTGAACGTTAATGGTAATGTGCAGTCTGATTATTTCAGGCTGCCTTATTCTTTGACCCATTTCTTTCACTGATCACTGGAGTTCTTGTTTCTGTAGTTAATACATGTCTAACAGGCTGGTCTCTAGCCTTTCAGCAGGAATCATGCTCTAATTTGAGCATGAGTTGGGACTTAAGATTTTGTTTTTGAAGGGAACTTTAAGGGAACCAGCATTTTAAAAAGCAACTGTAAACTGTGTGTTTAGAATGACCACTTTTGACTGCCACCCTTCCCACAACTGCTTTCTTAAACACTTCTCATTGATTTTCATGTTTGTATTAAAAACAAAACTGTTTTTATTACAGTATGTATGTTTTTACTCTGTTGTACAGGACCCTGAGCACTGCATAAATAAACTTCTTATGAAAAGAGAATTTTAAAAAATTAGTTTGTCAGTTCCGTTCATCATTACTACATACAGATTCTTGTGTGGAAAATAGGACATTTTTAAAAACAGAAAAGAGTGACAGGAATCTGGGATAGGATCTTATTTTGTTGTTTAAAGTATGTTGACTTTTCATTACAATTTCTAAAGTAGAGAGCACTTCCTGATACCTTTCTGTCCTGGTCCTCAGAACTGTAATGGATATCTGTGACACACTAGGAGAATACTTCAGCAAATTGTTTCACTGAACCATTTATTAAAACTGGTAAAGCTGATCAGTGGCGTTGTTTACACAATTTTGAATTAACTATGATTTTTCTCAAATTATTTTCAAAGTAGGTAGCATTCTCAGGACTTCAAAACCTGAGCTGAGTGAGTACTTACTGCACTCTTTTTAAGGAAGACCAAGTTCTGTGGGCAACAATATGTTTTCCTGAACTAGAACTACATTTGTCTCTCGGGAGAAAAGGAGTAGGTCAGTAGGAAATGGTATAGGGATTTGTAGAGTAAGTCTATAATGTTTTTGTTTTTAGTGGATAGTAGGGTATTTTCTTAGGATTTTTTTTAGAAGCTATTTTTTTTTTAGAATTTGATACAAGTTCCTTTCCTATCTGCTGGTATCTGAAATTAAAAATAAGATTTTTTCTATATCACTGTCTAGACTTGCTCTAGTTGGGGAAGGGGATAGGAATAGACAATTTTAGAAAAACACACACCTGGGAAATTACAGAGAAATTTCAGTGAAGATGGATTGTTCCTTCTAAAGAGGTAGACAAGAGAAAGGGTTCTCTGACTGGTTCTGTTTCCAGAAATCGTCAGCTGTGGTCCTCTCATTTATCACTCTCATTGATGGTAGTCTCAAGAGAAATGATAGTTGTTGCAGGTTCAAGAAGCACTCCTATCATTAAGTTTTTCTAGGTTCAGATTCGAATATGAAATGTGCTATAAAAAAAAAAAAAAGGAAGCAATGTTAACTTACATACCAGTGTACTCCATTCAAGGGGATTGACTACAATTAACCCTAGGATTGTAGTATAAGTTGGAAACTATATTCAGACACTTGCAAGAAATAGTTACATTAAATAAATTGAAGATTTAGAATGCTGCTTTATATAAGTAATGCATCAGAAACCACGCTTGGACAATGTTACACATCAACTGAACTAATCTCATACTTATCAATGTAGCCTAAGTGATAATACCAACTTTTATAGTTACTAGGACTTTTATTTTTTTTTTAATTATAAAAAAAAACATAGGAGATTCAAAAACCAATAATCACATACAAGCCTCTGCTTTCTCATGCATCTGGCAGCTTTACTAGAAACTGCCGGGAAAGGAAGACCAGTGATGTGTAATGGCTGAGGAAACAGGAAATGCACGTTTTGGAGACTGCTGATAAAAACCAGAGCAATTAGGTATTATAAATTAAAAGCAAATATTACCTGAGGAAATCTGGAGCTCGTATTATCATGTGCTGAAAGTCTTCCAAAGAAAGCTTGCCGTCGTTGTCCAGGTCAGCTTCATAAATCACCTTTTCACATACAAGGCGAACTTCTTCTGGGGTAAGCTCATTGCGGGTCAGTTTGTTAACAGTTTTCTCCAGATCTGATTTGCATATGTAGTCATCATTGTTAAAATCTGTCAGAGGAAACAAAATGAATTCAATGTAAGAAAGGTCAGTATTTCACATGGCTGACTGCCAAGACTTAATAGGAAGGGTTTAGTTTCCAGGCTGTAATGTACTGATGTAAGCAGAACTTTCAAATGAGATAGGAAGTTACACGTATTTGTATAAGAATTCAAGAAGAACAAAATAAAAATGTTGGTTTCATGTCTCTTTATCATACCTAAGGTAACAATTGTGAATAGTTTAATGGCTAAATGTAGTCTAGCGATAATTAAATCATCCTAGCAAATCAGTGCTACTGAATTAACTGGCAGTAACAAGAAGTTAGAGAAGGGGCTGTTCAGTTTTGCTGGGGGTTCACTTTCAGATTTTGCTGAATCGCAGTATTTTATTTATGTATATAAATTTGCCCTTGGAGAAAACTGCTAGAAGTGTGATTCCCCACCTAACCCCAGTCAAAACCACACTGCAGCTTTATGGGCAACCAAGTCCTTTGTGATGCTCTTTTCAAGGCAGTTTCTCAGACAGAAGTTTTTCTTAAATGCTTATCAGTTCCTGAAAACCGCAGATAAATTCAAGTTGTAAATTTTATAGTAAATCCTAATCCCGATTAAATAAGAATAGAGACAAGGGGGTGTAAAGGAAGTTTTTGGAGAGAGAATGGGTGTTTGAATGCAATGCAGAGAAAAGCTGTATTAAAAACACATCCAACTAGAAAACATTCTGGTGGCAAAATAGATTATTTTACATTCATATGTGCAGTTACAGGCTTTTCCCAAAGTTTTTGCTTTTGTTACTGTTTTTTGCCTATGTCACTCACCATAAATTTTAAAAGCATAGTAAGCTTTTAAGTCCCTGGGAGCCATTTCACTCAGCACAGAAAACATGTCCAAAAAGTCATCTAAAGTCATATTGCCATCTCCATCCTCTGAGAAAACCTCAGCTATCCGCTGGCGGAATGGATTGTCCTGGGGAACGTAACAGAAGAGCGAGAGAAGGTCATTTTTACTAGCATTTATTTCAGTGCAGATAAGATACAACTCGAGCAAGATTGTTTTTGTTGTAACCCCTTTTTGGCAGTCAAATACTCCTTTTTCAGCTCTTTTGTTCTTGTCTAATTTATCAGAGTTAGATACAGCCGCAGCTGCCTTCAACCACTGTTCAGTTTCAGGGGATTTTCAAGGAATCACTAGAAGCTTCCAGAAAGACTTGACTTTAGTAGCCAAAATTTATTTGTATTTCATCCTCCCAGCAATTAGTACTGACTGAATTATTAAAAAAGGGTAGATTAAACCGAAATGTGTCACTTGATTCTTGTTGTGCTCTTCCGTCTGTACCTTCAGCTCTGGCATGCTGCCAATGAGTTCATAGGGAAGTGTCACGTCTGGTTTATCGGTGTAGTCGAGTGGAACTAGCTGTGGGGCTAGATCTCGGTATCTGTAAAACAGTCTGAAATAGAAAGAAAGGCTCGTTTAGGGAACAAGTCATTTAGACCTCTGAGATTAATGTGTTTGCCTTTTCCATCTCATTCTTCACACTCTGCATCCTTTACCGGAGGGTTGGTATCAGTCTCTAAATAACATTTGTTATGCCCTGTAGTTATTGTTGGAAGAGACAATATTAAAGAACAACATAGTATAAATGGTGGAAAATACAAAGCCTACATGCTTACAGAAGTACAAAAAAAATGCTTACACAGGTTGGGCAGCCAAGCCACTACATAAGGCATATCTAAAAAAAGATTTTTCACGTACTTTCAGATTCACTTCTACATTGCCGGCAATGGTATTCAGACACACAGTGTATTTAGAATTTATGTATTTATGATAACAAGGCACATGACCTTCAACCTGAAGGTCCACTTAATCAGTTTTCAAACACACACAAAAAAAAAATTTTGCAAGGCAAAAGGGATCTGTTTTTCAAGTCCACAATGAATATGACCAAAAATAATGAACTTAATTGGAGCATGAAAGAATCAGTTTAAATGTCAGAATAAAACCCTGGATGACTAAAGTCATAGCCAGAGAAAGAGATGTCTGGGACCAACTCTAGCAGGTTTTTATTCACTCCACATATCTCTGTTTTTCCATAGAACTGAGGTTTGGGAGGTAGAAAACATGCATAGTCATTTGAATGCATTTACTACTTTTTCAGCATGCTATTTGCTTCAGTTCTTTATGCTAAAGGATCCCATTCATAGCTGTTATCAACAAAACAATAGGGTAGAATTTTAAAAGGGATCCTTATCAATAATAAATGTCTTATTCATGACGCAGAGGTTCTGGCATCTATTTACTACATGGAAAGGCAGATAGATTTCAGTTATTACAGATTCATTCATATTTCATTTGATATTGAATTCATACATGGATATCAAGGTTCTAAACAGGGACATTTGCACAAAATTGTTATTCATGCTCTGTGCTTCAGAGAGATTAGCAAATAATGTCTGATGACCTGTTGAGAAATGCAGGAACTGAATGAACAGTTATTATTTTCTGCTAATATGCCCAATGGTTAGTAAAGACAATGAAACTTGGATGTTATGTACATTACTATCTGTGTAAATATATATGTATTTATGATAGGAGAACAAGTTCAAGTTTTCAGTGAAGGCTCTCAGTCTCATATGAACAGAATACCAAACCTGTTTTTAGCAGATCCTGTGGCCAGAGATAAATGGAGTATTTGATGAGGCTCATGAAGGCTCCAGGAAAAATGCACCTTAGAGTACCACTACTAATTATTTACATGAAGACATGAAGAAAATGTGAATAACATTTGACAAAATCATTTATGATTTTGTAAAACAGGCTACGTGTCCCAGTGACTAACAGTACACTCTAAAGCGCTCGACTATAAATGAGGTGAGGGAATGTGGAAGTCAATGACAAAGTACGCACTAAGATATACTCTGTTACACTTATTTCTGGCATAGAGGCTGGTACCTTAACATAAAATTTATCTGTACATAGTTACATAGTTTTTGTAAACTAAAAAAAAAAAAAAAAAAAAAGCACGTTGTCCAAATGTATCACTTATCACTTTAATCTTTAATTTTGTATAAATATTTTTAATATCCTATATGTAATCTGTTTTGTAGAAATTTCTATATTTTATACATAAAATACACACACAAGACTCACCTCAAAATTTCTTTCCTTGTAAAGAACGTGCAGTCCTATGAAATAAGAAATGACATAATATGTAATGACAGGTTTTAGCATGCATTGGCCCGAAGTTTTCCACTACAGTGACTCAAATGGAATTATATTGTAATGTATGTGGCCAAGCACTAATACTCTTTCCTTTTGGCACATAATTTATACTTTATAACCTTTCCTGATGTAAGAATCCAAGCATGTTCCTAAAAACCTTTGCTGTAATTTAATACTCTTACTTAGTAATTTTTAAAGAAACTGCTTAAAACAAAACAAAACAAAACAAAAAACTACTTGCCATTATTCAATATTCTGTCTTCATACCCATTTAGTTTGTTTTGTACCTGATATGCATCCAGTTGCTCTGGAGTGAAAATGGTTTGCTTGTTGCCCATTTCTGGCTCTGACTGCTGAGTCTTGTCCTATCATTCTTTCCTCAAAGTCACCTTTATAGCTGGTCTGGATATTCAGATATTAAAAGCTACAACAATGAGGTTCAGGTAAAGCAGAGGATCAAGTAACCAGCTTCCCTATTCCACAGGCTGCAAAGAGTCATAATAGGAGCATTTCATCAAATCTCTAGTCTGACTACTCAAGGCTCTTATCCAGCATCACTCACCTGTCTCCTGTGTGCATAATAAAGACTCACGTTACAGTATTTAGCCAAACAACTAATAGGTTCCTGTTTGTGTCTTTAGAGCAGCAGATAGACTTCATGGACTGCACGATTTCATTCCTTCATATGGTAAATTACCTGAAAAGTGTTAGCAATGTCTCACTTTTCTCTATAATATGCATTGTGTACTGTCCACTAATGTTAATGGCAGTTTGCACTTAGGTAGTACCTATGAAGCCCTCTCAGTCTATTTATTCTCCCGTTATCTAATAATGTACATTATCACTGGTTAGTGGCTATTAATGTGACATACATGCATGTAAGTACATATATGTTCTTTACACTGAAAATGCATGTGAATATGCAGGTTATACATAAAAACAGAAATGTGCTGGTAAGGCCTTTATGAAATGTGAAACACAAGGGCAGAGGGAGGACCTGACAGGACTACTACGGCCTGTGGTGGGCTGCCTGATTTATTGCCCATGGGTAGGCTGTAACATCTTCATTTTTTGGTCCTTCATACTGTCTGTCCAGGAGGTATGTCTGGTGTCTGATTTTTTGGTGGCCAAATCTACTCTCTGCGGTGAAGATATACCGGCCTTGCTCAAAATAAGCAAAGATCAGAGAATCATTAAGGTTAAAAAAAAAAACACCTTCAAGATCATCTGGACCAACCATCCCCCTACCACCAATGTCACCCACTAAACCCTGTCCCTAAGCACCAGGTCCAACCTTTCCTTGAACATCCCCAGGGACGGTGATGCCACCACCTCCCTGGGCAGCCCATCCCGACGCCTGACCGCTCTTTCTGAGAAGAAATGTCTCCTAATTTCCAACCTGAACCTCCCCTGGCACAACTTGAGGCCATTCCCTCTAGTCCTACCACTGGTTATCTGTGAGAAGTGGCCGACCCCCAGCTCCCTGTAGAGGCAGTTGCAGAGAGCAATGAGGTCTCTTCTGACCAAATCCCCTCAGCCGCTCCTCACAGGACCTGTGTCCCAAACCCTTCAGCAGCTCCGCAGCCCTTCTCTGACCTCAAACTCTTTAAAAGTCTTTAAAAGATGCCTCAGACTGGGTCTGTTCAGCGCGGAGCCGGGTGTGTGGGGAGGGCACAGGGCTTTGGGTCGGGCTCTTCGCACTGCCGGGCTCCCGGGGCCGCCCTCTCAGGGCCGGCCCGGTGCCGCCGGGTTCTTCCCTCACAGGAAAAAAGAAAAAAAAAAAAAAAAAAAAAAGAAAAAAAAAACGGGACCGTTCTCGCCGCCAGAGGGCGGTTGGGGCGGCCATGGCGGACTACGAGGCGGTGCAGCGCGGCCCGCTGCGGCTTAAGGGCAGCGGAGCCGGGCTGGGGGCCGGCAAACGGTGAGGGGACGGCGGCGGGGGGGAACCGGAGAGGGGCTGGGGACCGGGTCCGGGCGCTGGGGACCCGGTGAGGGGCTGGGGACCCGGTGAGGGGCTGGGGACCGGGGCCGGGCGCTGGGGACCCGGGGCCGGGCGCTGGGGCCTCGGGGCCGGGCGCTGGGGAACTGGAGAGGGGCTGGGGACTGGGGCTGGGCGCTGGGGACCCGGTGAGGGGCTGGGGACCCCGGGCCGGGCGCTGACCGCCCGCTGTCTTCAGGAAGAAGAAGAAGGCGAAGGACAAGGCCCAGATCCTGGAGCAGATCGTGAGCAGCAAGAAGCAGGAGGAGGAGAAGAAGCGCGGCCTGGATAAGCGGACCCCGGCCCAAGTGGCCTACGAGAAGATGCAGGAGAAGCGGGTAGGGCCAGACCCCTCCTGGGGGCTCGGGGAGCGTTAAAAGCCCCAAAGGCTCCCACAGATGCAGCCTCTGAGGGGCTACTGTGAGTAACCGGCCTCTCTTGTGTCTTCTTCCAGCAAATGGAGAGGATCCTGAAGAAAGCATCTAAAACCCACAAGCAGAGAGTTGAGGTGAGCAGAATTATCCCAATATACTCCTACTCGCGTGTATTTATCAGCACGCAGGCTTGCTGGGCTGGAGGAGCTCTTTTATTTCTGTGAAACACAAAAGCCGTGAGAACAGCATCTTGTAATTCAACAGCGGTGATGTCTGCGTCATGTGTTAAATGTTTTGTTTCCTCATCCCCTAGGACTTCAACAGGCACCTGGATACTCTGACTGAGCATTACGACATTCCGAAAGTCAGCTGGACCAAGTGAATGGACTGCTTTTCGAGGCTTTGCATCAGGAGTTCTGTTTGTATTGAACGGAGTTGCCATGTAAATCTGTGTATTCTTGATATTGAGTATTTAATATATCTTCTGAACGTTTATGACCTTGTACTGTTTTATTTAATTGTATTTTAAAATCAAATGTTCAACAAAATTTCTTGGCTAGTGAACGCTGGTTTATAGAGTTGCAGAGAGCTATTTTTTTTAGTGCTCAAAGTCAGATTAAGGCCAAAGTCAATTGCTTTGAGCTAACTGGAAAATGTACTTTTATTTGTTCAATACGAACAGTTCTCCTTTTTAGAAGTGAAGAGTCAGCTTTTCTTGTAAGTTACAGGACATGTATAATTTCTATCTATACATATTGGGGAGGAGGGTGTGTGTGCTGTGTTCTAAAATCCTCTTGTACCTTTACTTCTGATGTAACTTCTTATTAAAATCCTGCTTTCATCCTTCATTTTGGTGCTGACTTCCCTATGAAATGAGGGGCAGTGCACTGATGAGGAAGCAGTGCACATGGAGGAGATCGTTTTATGTGGATTAAACGTAACAACCTAAACCGTATCCTTTGTATTTGCATTCACTGCTATGCGAAGTGCTCCTGTGGAGTTGTTTGTGTTGTTTTTGAAGTGCTTGCCTGCATTTACAGCTGTTACTCTGAGAGGTGATGTGACTGAGGTGCATACACACTGCAAACCCTCCCGTTCTTTTTCATCCTGAGTGTTTTTCCGGCCCTGGGTTCCCCCGTCACCCTGCCCGAGCCCCTTTCTGTGGGCTGCGGCTCCGTTTCGCAGTGGGGGGACCCTCCGGACTATTTAACAGTCTTCCCGCTATATTCTTCCGCGTTCTGACAGCGCCGTGCGCGGATCCCTCCGCGCCGCCGGGCCTCGTTTCGCCGCTCTCCGCCGGAAGTGCCGCTGCCGGAAGCGGAAGTGGCTGTGGCCGTGGCCGGGGGCACGGCGGCCCGGGCGGCGGCGCGATGTCGGCCAGCGCCGTCTACGTGCTGGACCTGAAGGGGAAGGTGAGGCCGGGCTGCGGCCACCCCCTGCCCCGGGGGCTCCCCACCGGCCCCGGGCTGCCGCCGAGGGGCCGTGCGAGCCATGGGCCCGCTGCAGTGTCCTCTCCGGGGCGTGCGGCAGCCGCTTGTCCCTTCCCGGGGCCTCTCTGCTGGCACCGCCGGGTTGATGTGGGGCTGGGGGGTCGCGCTGTGACGGGGGAGCCGTGGCCTGTGAGCCCCCTTCGCAGTTACAGCTGCTGGGAGCAGCAGGGCTCTTGTGCATCCCGCCTCGGGTAATTAAACTCCGCTTTAATTGGCGGCGGTTTGTCCCAGAGGAGTTGGTGTTTTTCCATCTAAAAGGTTGTTGTTAGGGTGTGTGCAGCCGTATGTGGGGAATAACTCTAGAAAATAGCACAACGCAGCTCGGGGATGAAAGATTAGGATTTGCATTCTAATCAGCAAACTGTTTTGCTGTTGTGGTTTGCATTTATAGTGTGCAGAGAGTGGAGTGTGCTGATGCTTGGCGACTTTTTCGTTTTTTATGTTAACTTAGAAGCATTTTAAATATCTCAGGTGTTGGTCTTGCATGGTAACATTGTGTCTTGAAAGACGAAGTGCAAGGAATTGCATTTTTTTTTTTATAGGTTCTCATCTGTCGAAATTACCGTGGAGATGTCGACATGTCAGAGGTGGAGCATTTTATGCCAATCCTTATGGAAAAGGAAGAAGAGGGGACGCTTTCTCCTATTCTAGCCCATGGAGGAGTTCGTTTTATGTGGATTAAGCATAACAACCTGTATCGTATCCTTTCTACTGCAAATAGCTTGCATTTACTGATATGCCAAGTGCTGCTGTTTTACTTTCATTATTTGTTTCTAAATGCAAAGCTGGAGAACAGGAGGCTCATGCTAAACTAAGTGGGCTTATACGTGACGTATTATAACGTGCACCAGCGGCACAGTGCACACAGAAGTGTTTATGTTAATTTCACTTTAACAAATTATTTTCTTAACGTTTATCTTTATGTCTCATTAGGCCAGATGCACTGCTAATTAACTCTTAAGTGTTTTGGCCAACTGCAATTATCTAGATGCTTTTAAAAACACACTCATTAAACTTTTTTAAATGATAATTTTGAATATATGTTCCTGAACGGCCTTTATCAGTTGTTGCAACTTCTAAGAAGAATGCTTGTGTATCACTGGTGTTTTCATTTTTATATAAAGTAGTTCAGGTGAGTAGCAAATCTCAGAAGTAACCTCCATCTTTTTTTTTTCAGCACAGTCTAAAGCTGATTTAAACAAAACATACAGGGCTTTCACTTTAAAAAAAAAAAATTGTTTGGGTATTTTGACTTTGTATTTGGTTATTTTGTAGAAATATCTTCATAACATTAGTGGTGGAATTGATATTCTCTGGCTGAGTAAAGGATGTGGCACGTTGCTGTAAGTAGTTGCACAAGACCTGCAAACACAGAATAAAACTGAACTTGATGCAGGAGTGGTGATGTGTCACATACAGATTCTGTTTGGTTCATCTGTACCTGGCATGAAGAATATCTTCCCCAGAATAAATATTTTTCATCGTAGTTAAGCCGCTTCTGGGATTCTGTAGCTCTCATTTAATTGAGGAAGGTTTTTGTGAGGCTAATCTTCTAAACAGAATGGCGTTTGTGAATTATGGGCCTTGATTTGGGGCTTTTTTAAAAACTATTTTAAATGTAAGAATGTAACAGCATGTTACATTCTGCATGTGCTGTAGTTCCTCATCTAATGTCTTCCATTTTCCCCTCCCTCTTTTTGTTGTTCTCTCAGGTTTTTTCTGAATATTTCAAGGAGTTGGAAGAAGAGAGCATTAGGGATAATTTTGTTATTATTTATGAGTTGTTAGATGAGCTTATGGATTTTGGTTACCCGCAAACCACTGATAGTAAAATTTTACAAGAGTAAGTATCAGTTATCAGAATATTTAATACTTGGTAAAATGTAATGTCGTAGTATCCAACGGGTAGGGCTCAAAGGGTTGTGGTGAATGGGGCTACATCAGGCTGGTGACCATCACCAGCGGGGTCCCCCAGGGCTCTATCTTAGGGCCAGTTCTCTTCAGTGTTTTCATAAAGAATTTGGATGGAGGACTAGAAGATGTTTTAAGTAAATTTGCTGATGATACTAAACTGGGAGGAGGTGTCTTTTGAGGGTGGAAAGGCCTTGCAGAGTGATCTGGACAGATTTGAAGCAGTGTGCCCTGGTAGCCAGGAGGGACAACCCTATCCTGGGGTGCATCGAGCATGGCATTGCACGGTCGAGGGAGGTGATCGTCCCGCTCTGCGCTGGTGCGGCCTTACCTCGAGCACTGTGTACAAGAAGGATATGAAACTGTTGGAGAGCCTCCAGAGGAGGGCGACGAAGATGGTGAAGGGCCTAGAGGGGACAACATACAAGGAGCGGCTGAGGGCACTTGGCCTGTTCAGCCTGGAAAAGAAGAGACTGAGGGGAGACCTCATCGTGGTCTACAGCTTCCTCACAAGGAGGAGTGGAGGGGCAGGCACTGATCTATTCTCCTTAG